CTAGCCCTGTTCTAAAGCATCTTGCCTACAAAGATACAGTACAGTGAGAGTATTGTATTGTAGAAGAGAAAGGGTGTTACTGGTAGGATCACCATGTGAAAATAGACAAAACAAAAGCTTGATAAATAAAACGAATGCAGCCATCACATCTTAGGTCCGGTAAGCTGTAGTACTGCATACTATGTATTACCATTTTAAGCAACATTGTAATAAAATCGCTCAATAAATACCTTTTTCTTATGTTATTATTGGCAGTCACATGACTGCAAACTGCCAAATATTATGCATCCCTCTGCAGGCAGAGTGCATCAGCAGACCCAACATAATTCCCAAAGTAATGTTTATTAGCTAAAACAAAGCAGGCAGGAGGAAAAGAGATGCACGGGTCACTCTAGGGTGGGCAGTGTTGGAGCTTACTACACATGTGCATCAAAGGGAGTATCCAGCGTGCACAGTCACAAAATTATTAGCCGTAAGAGCCCCAGGACACCAACAACATCGAGGTACTATGCTATTACATGGAAGCAAGAGAGCATTGTTGGCCCAACACCTGAGCTCTGTGTGTACAGAGGGAACTGACAGGATCAATCGGTAATTTCTAGTGAATAGCATAGACATTTTTTTATTGCATTTTATTAAGTATACACGGATCTATTTTTATTTTTGGTGGAGACACACTTTAAGTTATAGTCCAGATAACAGTTTATCCATAATAAAATCATATGGAAGACTGAACACAAAGCCTAAGCCTTTTGTAGGCTACGCTTACTCCATCAGCGCTAAAAAAAAAAGACACAAAAATATCCATAAATGTAACATATGCAGTAATTCTATGTCGATTGTGATACTCATGTTGACCATAACCGTGATTGTAAAATGTGCCAAAAATGATGTAACAAATCACTGATAAACAATGAATCCACTTGTGGAATAACTTTGTGACTATATCTTCACCTTTGTAACACACCAATAGCTGTCTCTCACCTTCTATTAATACCTCTCACAGAGAAGCTGCTTTAAGATTTATATGTTCAAACATTTTTTTTTACTATATTGTTGTTGCTGCACATACACATTTGGCGCAGGATATATGTGTATTAATTTATATTGATATTACTGATAATCATTTTGAAAAAGCAATACAAAATGGTCCACATTATTTTATTTGTAAATTGAGAATAGTTAAAGTGATCTACCACACCTGAACTTTGTATATAAAATACTAAAAAAACAGCAAGTGCATGACTGATGTTGCATCAATCTAAAACACTAAAACAAATATTTTGAAAATAAAGTTTATTTAGTGTTTTTTTGTACAGGTAAGGAATTAAAGTGTATTTAAAGCAAAAATAAAAAATACAATTGTTTCTAGGTAGAGATTGAGTGGGGAAGGGTTGGAAGCCCTTTGGAGAGATTTCCTTTCACTACCTGTGGTATTTCCTGGATAGGAAGTAGAGGTAAATCTAACATATATACACATACACACACACATATATATATATATATAAAACTATTTTTACATAGGAAGAGAACTCTGGAGTTTGTGAGATAAAGATAAAGAGAAGCGGACCTTTCCAATGGCTTCAGTATTTGGTGAATCATTAGCTCAAAACAAGTCTGCAGATCAGGAGTTTGGACTTCATGTACTGCAAACTTTTTGGAGGCAGTGACCAAAAATGAAGACCTCTAGTATTTTCAGAAGAAGTTAGGCAACAGCAGCCTGTGAATAAAGGTGGCCATACACTTTACAACCTTCGCAAGACATTAGTCTTGCGATGGTTGTAAAGTAATTTAAAAAAACGTACGATCTGCCCATCCCTGACAGGCAAATCGTACTTGCGATCATCGCAAGCCCACCCCCCTGAGGGGCGGGCTTGCGATGACCGCAATGCTAAACGGGCAGTGTGCGCGTGTGCACACCGACCCGTGCGGCATTGATCTTACGATCATGCTAAAAACCAGCCGAAAATCGTACGATTCTCAGCTGGTTTTCTAGCATGCTCCTTAGACAAAAGACGTGCGACCGTACAGTAGAAACGGTCGCACGTCTTCATTCACACTGCACGATTCTCGTACGATCGCGGGATGTCCCGCGATTCTCGTACGAGAATCGCGGGACATCCCGCGATCGTACGAGAATCGTGCAGTGTATGGGCACCTTAAGTCTCATGACAGGTGTCATTTAAAGTGGATCTATAGCCCAAATGTTATTATTCATTTTGAATAGAGAGGGGAAGTGTGAGGACTGGAGGTGAAGAGCCATCTTGCCAATGTGATAGTTACAACAAGAAAATAAAAAAAGAAAGGGTTTCAACACTCCCCCACTCTATCCAAAGCTTTAAAAAAAGGTTTTAGCTTTGGATACACTTTAAATTCACTTGTATATAAAATCCTACCTGCTAAAAGTGAATGTACGTACCTTTCCAGTCAGCCGTTTGTTGCTGCTCCCCGGCTTCTGTAAATATTAAATCAGTCAGATAAGCCAAATATCTGTTTTCCCTGCAGAACATAGTGGTTCCTCCCACTGGGTCATACTACCTGTATTGACCTACAAGGCGGTGGGAGAAACCACAGTATATGTCAGGGGAGCAGGTATTCCACCACAGGTCAGGGAGCAGGGAAGAGATGGTGTTTTAACACACACGAACCATCAAAAAGGTAAACATATTCCCTCTTCTTCAAGCAGGTTGGATTGTATATCCAAGTGACCCTCTGCTGACAGGGTCACCGTAGGGTGCATTGTAAAACAACTCCCATTAGCATGAGAGTAGCTGTATTGAGACAGTGGGGGTGATTTACTAAAGGCATATAAGCTGTGTACTTTGCAGGGAAATGTCCCCTTAGCTTAGTGAATGTGGGTAAATGCTGTGTACTCCTTGTGTACAAATGTGGGTATGTATATGCATTTGAGTGGGTACCTTAAAAGTATGTGTTGTTGTTGATTTTATGTAATTTATTCAATGAGGTGCCCCTAATGACCAACCTGAGCCTTTGAACATTGATACATGATTAGCAAATGTGGGGAGAATTGACTTTGCAAAGAATACCCAATCACATGCAAGGAAAATAGATTTTAAAAAACAGTATTAGGGATAATGGAAGTCAGCAGAGCTTCACTAAGTGAAACGTCTACTTGCAACCTCTTTGATTATTTTATAATTTTGTTATTGGCAACTGTGGAACTATAGGTAAAAACAATTAGGCAAAACCAGCACCTATCATTGTTATAGATTACTCAAAACTGAAGGTGAACGATCGCCTGCTTTGCCTTAATCTGTGTCCACACCTAAGCAATGGGACATTAAACATGCAGTGCCTTTTTACTGCATTGCTCTAGGCCAGTCTATTCAGCTAATTGTACCAAGTGAAGTGCATGGCCCCAGATGTGCCACGTGACGTCATGGCACATGCATGGCCTCCTTGTGATACCTGCTGGCAGCCATCTTAGTGATGGACGCAGGCAGAGAAAAGAGGGGAAGTTCACCCCGCAGGATAAGGTATGCCGCCAGGTCCCCTTCTCTCTCCTGCAGCTGTCGTGCTCTCGATCCATGACTGAGTGCCTGACTTTTCAGACGGGGTGACACCAAAATGATTGTCAGTCATTTTGGTGTAACCCTTCCAATGGTGTCACCCCCTTAGGACGCCACTGCATGGCCTTTTTTTTAAGTCGCATCACGCCACAAAGTATGGTAATAAGTTACCATGTGTTGTGTGAGGCAACGCATAGATGATGGGTAGGTGCGTTGGGGTGTTTTGAAACTTATTTCAATAACCAGTTCAGCAAAGTATTTCTTTACATCTTTGCCCAAACACTTAGTCCCCCTTTGCAATCCATGAATGCACGCCAAATATGCATCAAGTAAGCACTTTGATGCACAATGTGTCAAAAGCGTTCAATGCACTTGCGGTGCCATTACTTGTTAAAACGTGCACAAATACGCCTGTAGCAGAATCTGAGACATGAGCTACTTTCATGTATTTGTCACACATGTGCCACCTAATGAAATCAATGGGCGACAAGCAGGAAATAATCGAGACATGCGTTCCCCGTACACAAAGGTGTGAACAGGGACTTACAGTCATCATGTTTCTGAACAGTTGGCTGCAACAATCTGAGCACAGTTTCCCTGAACCTCCTGTCCAGTACAAGATCACAAAGGACAGAGCAATCTCCAGTAGTCATACATCTACTAGCTTGAAGAAGGGAGAAAGGAAGAGGAAGGAAGGAGAGGGGAGTAGAGAGGAGGGGAGTGTCTTGCCTTGACAATAGCAAGTGTGGACACATACACAGCTCACTAGCATACACAAGGGTGGCTCCATAGGTCCTTGCAAGGGAAAGGAGTCACTCTAAAACAGGAAGGCTGGGCCAGTACTCAGGGGACCAGCTGATTCTGCATGAAACAAAACTTTTTACACATCAAGGAGGAGAATCCATTGTAAGTGATTTCGTAAACATTTGAAATAGCTTAAAAACCTTTTGACTTTTTATCACTAAGAAAGAATGGCACCGCAGCACACCAGTCTCACATGGTCTGGCACGGTGCGGGAACGCACACATTCCCCCTTTGCAAAATGTGAACAGGGCTAACTATATAATACAACAAAGTATTGAAAAAAGATTCTATTCTACTTTGCAGTCTTCAAAACTATTACCAGCGGGAACTAAACACATGTTATATGACATTGTCATGACAGGAGCACCACCGCCATGTGCTGAGCACAGATCATCATACAACACACAGAGTAAAAAATGAGATTGTCGTAGTTTGATAACGCCAGTGACACGCCATGCTCTCCGCTGTGACACTTTATGTAAACACTTCTTATTTATATAGAACATTTCAATGTTCAGCTCTCCAGAAATCATTAACCTGCCGCAGCGATAATGATCTGCAGACAGCAGCACTTCCAGCATGGACCAGAGGCAGTATGAATACATTCACCTCTAAACATGGCTACTACAGGCAGTGTATGGAGAGAGGTCTGGTGCTGAATCACTGTGTCTCTGCCCTGACTATTTACAATGGGCGGATTCTCAGTCCAGGCCACCTCCCCATCACACAGACACACAAGAGAGAGGCAGCTTAGCTGGGACAAGTGACAGGCACACAGGCTGATCATCCACCAGTTGCTAAATCCCTTGTGAAGACATGGTAAGGTGATGCTTTAATAGGTTTACATTTGCTCCCCTTGTCTTTTCAGCCTTCTGATTTAAGAATAAGGAACACAGGGTTCTGATTGATCTACATGTTCTACAAACATGTAAGGGACTGAAGAAGCACAAGTCAAAGTGCATTAGTTAATGAATAGCTCAGAAAGTAGTGTAGCTTGATAAGGCTGGGGAGAGTTTTCCTCTCTTTGCAAGTTAATGTGCATATTGGGCAAGGAATAGAGTGGCCATATGGACCAATCCCAGGCTCAGATGGTCATTTAGAACTTATACATCTTCCCATAGTGTACTGTGTTCCCATGGGCTTATTCTATTATGTCAACCGAGAGCAACACGGAAGTTAGTGGCTGGTATCAGAGGGTTCCTATAGTATTGCTTTTATCCCAAACACCTGAATCAGGCGTGGGACTAGCAAGACACTCAAATTGCTTGGAATAATAGGCTTAGGTCTATAGGGTTAAATGTGTCAGTCTTCAGCTTTTGATACAGAAATGAAACATTAGCTGACATTTGTCAGAAGTTTTATTTTCTAATTTTTTAAATATCTTTGACACTGCTGATCACTTATGATTGCATTGGATTTGGTAATATTCTATGGTGGTTTGACATTTACAAAGTGTTAATGTGGTCTGCACTTAGTAATGGAGGGAGTGTCCAGGTGCTACTGCCCCAGTAGTCAGATCTCCTAGCCATTGACCACAGCTACCATCACTTAAGACCCCATTCACACTGAGCGACATGGATATCACGCGGTTTTCCGCGCTGAGCGGCTTTGAGCTACATTGTGCGATATTGAGCGATACGTAGTGCATTTTTTGGGAGGGACTTTGTCACTGCTACATTGGGCTATATCCAATCAACAGCGATCTTGATGTGACATCATTCTTTCCTTCCATATTGCTGTGCAAAAGTGACCCTTCTGTAGCGTGATAAGGTCGTGCAATATTGCCACTAATGCGCGATTTTGCACAACACCATTGAGTCCAAATCGCGCGACATCTGTGGAAAAATAGGTCATGTTCAAGCGTCAAGCTTGAGCTACAAGCGAAATTGAGCTGTGAGATGTGAACAGCTTTATTGAAATGCATTGGGCAAGCTACATTGAGCGATATTGCACGATTTTGGGGTGGAAATCGCGTGATAAACCGCTCAGTGTGAACAGGGGCACTATATGCCTCCTCGCAACCGTGTTCACGAAGCAAAATTTGGATTCAGTAATTTACTTAATTCTGCTGCTCACAAAGCAAAGAGATCTGACTTCAGGATTGTCTCTAATCCGGGTGTATTTGTTATTATCTCAGATGATTGTATTTTTTACCATCAACAATCAACTATAAATATAATATTTTTATTTAGAATGTTGCTGTACATTCAGTGTATACTTTCTTTTACATTTGTTTTGTACATTGTATTTTGTGTTTCCTCTTCAGTGCTGACTTTATTTTTGTGCTGTTTTTTTTTTCTAAAGGAGAACTATGGGGTTAAGGCTTTTCCCCATTGTTCTCCTTAGGGTAAAGGGAGGACACAAACTAGCGTCCTCCCGTCGCCCTAGGCTACAGCTCGCGGTATACTGAGACGCCGCAGCTGAAGCGGATCCCGACAATCGTGTCGGGATCCGCCCAGCTGCGTGACGGACAGCTGGCTCTGCCTATCCAGAGGCAGAGCCAGCTGAACCCGCCCCCTCCCCCGTTCGTTCCGCCAGTCAGCGCTGGCGGATCGGAGGGGGGAATCCAGCCCCTCCCCTGTCACAGCAGAGAGCCGTGACAGGATCGAGAGGTGAGCGAACGCTGGTGTCACTCACCTCCCGATCTACTGAGCCGACCTGTGACAGTCTCATTGTCACAGGTCAGCTAGAACTATGAGGTGAGTGAAAAGCACTCACCTCATAGTTCTCCTTTAATGGAATATGTACAATATAAACATCTAGGGGGTTATTTGCAGCCACAGGTGGATGCACATTAGAAGAGTAAACACTTGAGGAGAGATAATACCCCCGTAGCTGGGGAGGAAGCAGACAATTGTATTGATCCAGTCATGAAAGATTATTATGGGGGGAATTTATCAAAACCGGAGCAGACAATATCTGGAGCAGCTGTGCACGGCAACCAATTAGCTTCTCTCTTCAGTTTGGTCAGTTAAGATTTGAAAATAAAAGATAGAAGCCGAGCGGTTGCCGTGCACAGCTGCTGCAGATTTTGCCTGCTCAGTTCTGATAAATTCCCATTTTTAGTTTTTTTTTTAATCTTGTTTGTTCATACTAGGCTGGTAAACACACAGTTTAAATAGTGCTGATCTGTCTCGGATGACTACAAAAAACAAAATCCATATCAGAGGGGGGTGAATGTTCATGGTGGACCTTTTTCTCAGCATGTATCGTTCTACTGCATTACTACATGTACAATGGTTTAAAGCAAAACTCCTGGCAAAACTGTTCTTAATCCTTGCAATAGGGCGACCCCGGCTCTGAAAGGGTTAAGTGGTAGTTTTTGTCTAGGTGCTAAAATAAAAAAGTTATACTTGCCTGATTCTCCAAGCCAGCTCCAGCACTCCCTCCTGCCCGTCTCCTCCTCCGCGGCAGCGATGGTATGCCCATCAGCGTGCATACAACATAATGACTCAAGGATCCTTAAGGTGGTCATACACTTTACAACCCTCGCAAGACTTTTGTAATTAAACGTATGTTCTGCCCATCTTGAACAGGCAGATCATACTTGCGATCATCGCAAGCCCGCCCCCGAGGGGCGGGTTTCCAATGACTGCAATGAGGGGCGGGCTTCCGATGACTGCAAACGGGCACACCGGCCCGTTCGGCAGTTGTCGAACAAGCAGGCCACTAACTTGCCGAGAATCGTACGATTCCCGGCGGGTTTTCCAGCCTGCTTGTTCGACGGAAGACGTGCAACCGTACAGTAGAAACGGTTGCACGCCTTCCATACACTTTGCGATTCTCGTACGATCGCGGGATTTCCTGCGATTCCCGTAAGATAATCGTACAGTGTATGAGCACCTTTAGACCAATGGAGGGGTAGAGAGACGGAAGGGACTGGTCAGGTGAGTATAATTTTTTTATTATAGCACCTAGACAAAAACAAGCACTTATCCCTTGCAGTGGGGTAGCCCAATTGCATGTGTTAACAACAGTTTTGCCCACAGCTCTGCTTTAAGGGTTCGTTCACACTATAGGCGGTGCGTTCCGGTCAGAACCTGGACCGGAACGCACTGCCCGCATTGCGGCCGGCTGACTTTTTTGCCGGGCTGTAGGGGGCGTGGCGGGCCATTGAAGTGAATGGCACCGTAGCCACGTCCTGCGGCCGCAATGCGATGCGATCGCCCACACGCGATCGGTGCGTTCCGGTGCAATCAAAATGCTGCAAGCACTATTTTCATCGCACCGGAACGCACTGCAGGCACAATGTGCCTTGCAATCCCGTGCGGGCGATCGCATTGCGTGGCTACGGTGCCATTCACTTCAATTGCCCGCAACACCCCTTCCAACCCGGCAAAAAAGTCAGCCGGCCACGCGTTCCGCTCCGGATTCTGACCGGAACGCACGGCCTATGGTGTAAACGAACCCTAAAACCCAACTACAGCTTTTTTGGGGATAGAGCGGGGAAGGGTTACATCCTCACTCGGCCTCTCAGTATAAGTAGAAAATATCAGATAATATACAGCAGGAGCGGAAAAATAAATTCAGGAGCAAGTCTGTCCAATCCAGGAGCCAGACGGATCTTTTTTGGGAGCCAGTTCCATTGACAACAACTGGAGAAAACCTCAAAAGTTAGTCACCGGCTGTCATGTTTAAGGAGCATTGGTGACCTGGCTCCTGGGATTGGTCCAGCCCTGATAATAGCCTCACACAATGGTCACAGGCTGAAAACTAGCTGTGCAGCTGTGATGACAGGTAAACCAAGCATGGAAGTGAGAGAGTTAATGAGCGGTGCTGTAGAGGAGGGTAGAGTTTGCAGAGGGCTGGTCTGGTGGATCCGGCTCCCTCTGACTGATTTAATGAACATTGCTCAATACTCACTACAAATAGAATGTAAAACACACCAGAAGACATCTGGAATCCTTCACCGATTCCATGATGCAGAATAACTAAATGAACATCATATGTTGTGGCCTGTTTGTCTGTTTTCAAGTAGGCAATCAGTAGGCAGAACATGAAAGGGAAACATTATTTTCATATGTTTGCAATTGACATGTTTTGTGGTCAGCAAAAAACTGCATCAGGGAAGCTATTGTAAAAGCAGCAAATAAAGACCTTCTTTTGTCATGCTGTCTGTAAAATTTGGTGTATACAGTCTGAAGGCTAAATTCCAGGCAAACAAGCTAAATACACGGATGAAATACATATATATGGAAGCTGTTTTGCCTGCCAAAGGATTTTTATTCCTGTTCATCCGGCTCTGCGATATGCACAGCTCTGCCACACAGCACAGTCCTGTCTGGCAAGGGAGGGGACTTGCACTTCTCTTCTGCAGTTTAACCTTTTAAATATAGGTCTTCTCCCCACACACAGCCTTTGACTGAACAGTAAAAGCAAAAGTAGCATACTGATGAGCTTTGTCTGTCATTCTGCTCTCTCCACCGATCAGCATGCTGTTTAATAGCACATGGGCACTGCAGTATAACTGATTGGCATCTTGTGCTGCTTATGCTTCCCCAGTCTGAGCGCCTCTGTACAGGGACTGTAAGAGGTAGATACCAAGTCAGCTACTTTGATTAAAAACATTAACAAGTAACATGTAATGTGGTATTAATGATTGCAGAGCATTTGTTTGAGTTTTTCTTATCTGCCTGGAGTTATTAAGGTCTCATTCACACATAGTATGCGCATGAATGAGCACAAAAATCACACAATTTTGTGCACGATCACCAAACTCACCAAGACACTTGCAGTGCCATTATCTTTTAATGGCACACCAAACGGAGCAAGCAAGGCAGATGCACAAAACGTACAAAACAAAATCATGCAAAAAACAC